AGCTACAGCACACTGTTTGCTCTGCCCTGGTGATTCCCTGAGACCCAGGCCCATGCAATTTGCAGCCCACTCATGCTATTTGTAGCAGCTATTCCATATGAATGGCCTGTCCTGGCTCAGGTTTCAAACTTTCTAAAATCTCTCAAACAAGCTGCCCCAAACCTATCAATACAACCTGTTTGGTGACAGCATGCCCCAAACCTATCAATAAAAGGTCCAAGACCCATCACTAGCACCAGCCTGCCTTGCTTCACAGCTGGGCCTCATCTGGGAAACTCCAAGATCAATACAAATAGCAAATAGTATCCATCTGCAGATCCCTCTGTAGCTCCTGCAGAGTGGCCCCAGGCAGTGGCTGACTTTGCACCTCCCTAGAGGCCCCAGAGCCAGTGCACCTGGTTTGACAGCTCCAGATTACAACTCTACACATCCATAAGTGACACACTCAAGAGGCAAGACTCAGTGAGCACCAAAGCCCCAGTGAAGCAAGTCCTGCTCCATAGGGGTGTTTCCTGCACTGCAGCTCTCCCACTGTAGTCACAGCTGGACCCCACAGCCAATTGGCCTGAAGGTCATCTCCTCCTAGTGACACCAACAGCAATCAAGGCTCAATTACAAGACTATGCACACAGCCCACACAGGAGTGCACCTGGAGCACCCAGCTCAGGTGACTGGGGAGGCTGAGCCATTGGGCTCTATAGGACACCTACTATACAAAGCCACTCTAGCAACTCCAGGAGACATAGCAGCTCTACCTAATACATAGAAACAAATACAGGGAAACAGCCAAAATGAGGAGACAAAGAAACATGTCACAAATGAAAGAAATGGAAGCAAGCAAACTACTGGATACAGAGTTCAAAACCATGATTATAAGGTTACTTACTCAAGGATCTTAATGAGACTTTCAAGGATCTCACATCAAAGACATGAAAAAGGACCAGTCAGAAATGAATCATACACTAACTGAAATAAAGAATAATTTACAGGGATTCAACAGTAGAGTAGAGGATTCAGAGAATCTAATCAACAATTTGGAATATGAGGAAGCAAAAAACCACCCAATCAGAACAGCAAAAAGAAAAAAGAATAAAAAAAATGTGAAGATAGTGTAAGCAGCCTCTGGAACAACTTCAAGTGTATTAACATTCACATTATGTTGGAGCCAGAAGGAGGAGAGAGAGAGAGCAAGATATTGAAAACCTATTTGAAGAAATAATGACAGAAAACTTCCCCTACCTGGTGAAAGAAATAGACTTACAAGTCCAGGAAGTGCAGAGAACCCCAAACAAGAGGAATCCAAAGAGACATCATAATTAAAATGCCAAGGGCAAAAGACAAAGAGAGAATCTTAAAAGCAACAAGAAAAAAACAGTTAGTTACCTACAAGGGAAAACCCATAAAACTATCAGCTGATTTCTCAACAGACACTATGCAGGCCAGAAGGAAATGGCAAGAAATATTCAAAGTAATGAATAGCAAGGACCTACAACCAAGATTACTCTACCCAGCATAGCTCTTATTTAGAATTGAGGGTCAGATAAAGAGCTTCACAAACAAGACAAAGCTAAAGGAGTTCACCACCACCAAACCAGTATTACATGAAATGTTGACGGGCATTCTTTATGTAGAGGAGGAGGAGGAATAGAAGGAGGAGGCGGTTGAAGAAGATGGCAAAAAATACATATCTATCAACAATTGAACCTAAAAATAAAAATAAATGAAATAGAAATTTAATGAACAAAATAAACTGGTGAATAAACTAGAATCAAAGGTATGGAAGCATGGAACAGACTGACCAGTCTCAGAGGGAAGGGGGCAGGGGTGTTGGAAGAGATTAACCAAAGATCTTACTTATGCACACAGATAGTAGGTTGGTGAAGACCCTGGGGTGGGACGGGAACCACGTGGAGGGGGCCAATGAGGGGGCAAAGGGGGATATCTGTAATACTCTCAACAATATAGATTTTAAAAAAATTAATACACAGTAAATTCAATTAAATTAAAGTTCTTACGAAAGTAAACAAAATACCAGCTGTGTAATTTAATGTTGATAGTTATCACAAAATACCATATACCATAATATGAGGAAAAATTCAAGGCTACAAGAAAGTTTGCTACCTATAATAGAAGAAAGATACACATTTTAAGAAATTAGTATGACAAGTTACTAAAGTAGAAATAGCTAAAGAACTATTCTTGTCAAATAGTCTCAGAGTAATACTGCAGCCTTTATAAATCATAGGAAAAGGAACTCAGTGGGACCCTTTCCCCCTCCCCACGTGGGAGTCTGTACTTGTTCTTTAGTAAATTTCCACCTTTGCTATACCACCTTCTATCCATGGATTCATTCTTCGATTACGGCGGACAAAGAATCTGGGTTCCAGTCCAGGAGAACACTGCATGTTCCAGTCCAAAAGTTTCGTTTCACAATGTTGGAGTCTAAAAGTCTAAGATCAAAGTGTCAGCAGGGTTGTTTTTTTCTGATCTGAGTCCTTGGCTTGCAGATGACTGTATTCTCCCTGTGTCTTCACATGGTCTTTTCTTCTGTGTCTGTGTCCTAATGTCCTCTTCTTTAAGGATACCAGTCTTATTGGATTAAGACCCACCCTAAAGACCTCATTTTAATTTAATTACCTCTCTATAGATCCTATCTATAAAAACAGTCACATTATGATCTCTGGTGGTTAGAATTTCAACATATGAATTTGGGGCAGGACATGATTCAGCCCATAACAATAATTAAATATTAAGTCAACTGCAGACCTTCATAGATGCCCTGTATCAGGTTATTAAAATTCCCTTTATTTCTAGTTTGCTTAAAATTTTAAAAAAATCATGGATGAGTACTCACTTTTGTCAAATATTTTCTGCATCTATTAAGATGATTATATGTGTTTCCCTTTTTTCATCTGTTAATATGGTAAATTATGCTGATTGATTTTTCAAAATTTGAGCCAAACTTGTATTTCTGAGAATAATCCGTTCAGTAATTATATATTGTCTTTATTTTTTTTTTTTACCTGTTGCCAATTTTTATTTGGAAAATTATTATAAAATGCCTTTGTGGTGCACCACACACTGAAGATGTGTTTGTGAGTAGAAAGAGATGATGTAACAAAGCTTAATCTTTATTTACTACTGATAAGGGTTAACTAACTAGCTTAATTAGGCAGACAGGAAGGGTGGGGGGGGGGGGGGGTCCAGGAGGCCTGAGCAATTAAAACAACCTTACATCACGGACAGAGGTATCTCTGGCCTGAGCAGTTAAAGCAACCATAAGGGAGATCAAAAGCAACTCTAACCTGAACAGATAAGATGGATATGCGAAGACACCATGTGGGCTTTAGACTTTGAAACTGATACTATACTAGAGGTCCGATGCATGAAATTCATCCATGGGTAGGGTCGCTAGGCCTGGCCGGCGATCAGGGCTGATCTGTGGGGCAACCAGCGGGGCAATTGGGGCCCCCGCTGGCACCCACCTTGGCTGGCCTGGGGCCTATGGGCTGGGGACAGCTCCTGTGTTGAGCATCTTCCCCCTGGTGGTCAGTGTGTGTCATAGCGACTGCTTGTTTCACCAGTATCAGTCGATTTGCATATTAGGTTTTTATTATATAGGATAACAGAGTGACCAATGAGGAAAGCATGGGGGCCCTAAATTAAGGAAAGGAACCAATTAAAAAGGATCAGGTTCAGACAGAGAACTGCAGCATATATAAACTGGAGACAAAGGGACACAAGACAGATTTTAGATTTTGGATTTTTTATTTTTTGAGAGAGAGAGAGAGAGAGAGAGAGAGAGAGAGAGAGAGAGAGAGAGAGAGGAGGCTTTTCCTGTTTGGGGGCCCCCCTGGCCAGATGGAGTTTGTATATGCTTCCAATAAACTTCTACACTTTAATTAAAGAAATATGTTAGTCCATGAATTTATTCTTCAATTTCGTCGGACAAGGACCCACAAGAAGAAGTCTGCACCCTAAACGCCACATTTCATTACAAAATGCAGAATAAATATATTTCTTAAAAATATGTAGTAATAGCCCTGGCTGGTTTGGCTCAGTGGATGGAGCATTGGCCTGTGGCTGAAGGGTCCCAAGTTTGATTCTGGCCAAGGGCACATGCCTGGGTTGAGGGCTTGGTCCCCAGTGGGGACCATGCAGGAGGCAGCTGATCAATGATTCTCTCTCATCATTGATGTTTCTATCTCTGGCTCTCTTTCCCTTCCTCTCTTTAATCAAAATTGAAATATATTTTAAAAAATGTAGTAATAATGTAAATATGTATAAAAATAACAGTTTAAAGAATTAGAAGTCGTTGGAAAGATAATTAGAGGGTAAAATTGTTCTTGTTGCCATTTTTTTTGGTGCCATTTGACCTTGTTAAATTGTGTGCACATTACTTTGGTAGAAGTAAAACAATTTATGATAATTTTTAAAAAAATAAATACTCCCCATAAAGAGAGAGAATTTTAGGTTGTTTTAATTATAACTCTGATTCAACTGGGATTTTGTGTTGGTCAAAGGTAGGTAACTGGAAGTGTCTGTTTTTTTCTCCCAAATAGGTTACAAACTCCCAGAACAACTTATTGTTTAGTCCTATTTCCCCCCATGATTTGAGGATATTTTTATTTATATTAGAGTGTTTCTACGCTATGTGCCTTGCCCTGGTACCACACTGATTTGAACTAGAGTGAGAATGAGTTTACTGTATGAAGATTGAAGAAAAAAGAATAGGATGTGCAAAGGTACAGTTCTATAAAAGCAAGTGCCTGGGAAATGCATCGATTGGAGGACTGAGAGTAAAGCATGTTGAAAGCGCAACAGAAAGTGTCATTAGTAAAAACGAAGACCTGCATACAGTCCTTTTGAGAGCAGCTGCTGTGCTTCACAAGCTGTAACCCCTGGTGACCAGACACCGAGCCTGAGGGCGGGCCGACGGGGCGTGGCGCGCAGCCGGCGCAGGACGGGATTGGTGCGGCCCTGGGGGCGGGGCGAGCGTCACCAGGAGGGGCTCGCGGTCCTCCTGCGCCATGCCGGCCGGCGCCGAGCCGCGAGCCCACCGGCCTGGAGTCGGGGTGGGCGTAGTGGTGACTAGCTGCAGGCATCCTCGCTGTGTCCTCCTGGGAAAGAGGAAGGGGTCATTTGGAGCTGGCAGTTTCCAACTTCCCGGGGGTCATTTGGAGTTCGGGTAAGCGGCCACCTGGGCGGCCGGGGAAGGCGGGACGCGCCCGAGAGGACCAGCCCGTTTCCTGTGCCGCGCTGCGTCCTTTGTCGCGCATGCGCCCTTTGCTTCTCTCGGAGCTGGCGGGCGCCGGCCGACAGGGGGCGCGGAGCTGGATAAGGGAGAGAAAGGAAGTCCTTGCCGAGGGCTTTCATCTCCGCGCCTGCTTATTGGTTGGTTTGTGAGATGTGTTTTTCTTAGTGCTTCCACAGAAAAGACACGAAAACGGTGTTTATAAACCTCGAGCAGGCCCGCGTTGCCAGTTAAGACATTTGCGCTGTTTACCGGTAATTTAAACGTACGCAGATACATTGTCCAGTTGCGGACCAGTGAAACTTTCTGAGCCTCGGTTTCCCATCTTTAAAATGCAGAAGGAAAACGAAGTACTCTTGAAAGTCCCTCTTCGCTTTGGCATCCTGTGATTTGTTGATATATCAGACAAAGATGGGCAGTTTAGAGGCAATTCCACACAGACTGAAGAAAGTCTGGTATTGTACCAAAAGGTGCATTTTAAATGCATTTGCATAATAACCCTTTATTAGATGTACCATTGGCAAATATGTTCTCCGATACAATGGGCTCCCTTTTTATTCTCTGATTTAAGTGAGAATACGTTTCAAGTTAATATCAGATAAATAGCATCTAAAGCATTCAGACCCAGTGCTTGCTTTTCCTTTAGTATAAGAAGTGGAGAAAATAGTGAATCTTTATGTACCCATCACTCGGTCTGTTTTTGTTTCATCTTTACTGCTCTCCTGCAAACAGACACACACACCTCTTGTTTTCCAGACAATTTCAAATTGCAGACATCCAATTATACCACCCCTAAATAGTTAAGTATGTATCTGTAACAAACTTTTAAAAACATAAACACAATAGCTTATTTTGCTTAGCATGATACTTTCCAGGTCCCTTCAATCCTGTCTCAAAGGGTAAAAGATCCTTCTTTTTTACAGCTGCAGAGTAAACTATGGTGTAAATGTGCCACAGCTTCTGGTCCACTCATTTACTGATGGGCACTTGGGCTATTTCCATATCTTAGCTATTGTAAATTGCTCTACTATGAACATAGGGGTGCATACATTTTTTCTGTTGGTGTTTCAGGTCTCTTAGGATATATTCCTAAAAGTGGGATCTCTGGGTCAAATGGTAGTTCCATATTTAATTTTTTGAGAAACTCCATACTATTTTCCATAATGGCTGCACCAGTCTGCATTCCCACCAGCAGTGTAGTAGGGTTCCCTTTCTCCACATCCTTGCCAGCATTTGTCATTTGTTGATTTGTTGGTGGTAGCCATTCTGACAGGTGTGAGGTGATACTTCATTGTCATTTTAATTTGCATCTCTCTGATGATCAGTAACTTTGAGCATTTTTTCGTATGTCCTCGTTGGAGAAGTGTCTATTCCAGTGATGGCGAACCTTTTGAGCTCGGCATGTCAGCATTTTGAAAAACCCTAACTTAACTCTGGTGCCGTGTCACATATAGAAAATTTTTGATATTTGCAACCATAGTAAAACAAAGACTTATATTTTTGATATTTATTTTATATATTTAAATGCCATTTAACAAAGAAAAATCAACCAAAACAATGAGTTCGCCTGTCACCTCTGACATGCGTGTCAGGTTCACCATCACTGGTCTATTCAGATCTTTTGCCCATCTTTTAATTGGATTGTTTGTCTTCCTTCTGTTAAGTTGTATGAGTACCTTATATATTTTGGATAATAACCCTTTGTTAGATATACCATTGGCAAATATGTTCTCCCATACAATGGGCTCCCTTTTCATTTTGTTGATGGTTTCTTTTGCTGTGCAGAAGCTTTTAATTTTGATGTCCCATTTGTTTATTTTCTCCTTACGTTTCCTTTGCCCCTAGGAGATGTGTGGATAAACATATTGCTATGAGAGATGTCTGAGATTTTGCTGCCTGTGGTTTCTTCTAGGATTTTTATGGTTTCATGACTTAAATTTAAGTCTTTTATCCATTTTGAGTTTATTCTTGTGTATGGTGTAAGTTGGTGTTCTACTTTCATTTTTGTTGCATGTATCTGTCCAATTTTCTCAATGCCATTTATTGAAGAGACTGTCTTGACTCCATTGTATGTTCTTGCCTCCTTTGTCAAATATTAATTGAGTATAATGGCTTGGGTTGATTTCTGGGGTCTCTGTTCTGTTCTATTGATCTATATACCTGTTTTTGTGCCAGTACCAGCTTGTTTGATTACAGTGGCTTTGTAGTATAACTTCATATCTGGTATTGTGATCCGTCCAACTCTTCTTTCTCAAGATTGCTGCGGCTATTCGGGGACTTTTTTGGTTCCATAGAAATTTTTTGGAGTATTCTAGTTCTGGTATTTTAATAGGGATTGCATTGAATCTGTAGATTGCTTTGGGTATAGTATGGACATTTTAAAGATGTTAATTCTACCAATCCATGAACACACTATATTCTTCTACTTGCTTATATCTTCCTCTATCTCTTTTTTCAACATCCTGTAGTTTTTTGAGTACAAGACTTTTACCTCCTTGGTTAAGTTTATTCCTAAGTGTTTTGTGATTGTTGCAGTGGTAAATGGGATTGTTTGTTGAGTTTCTCTTTCCGAGAATTCATTATTGGTATATAAAAATGCCATCCATTTCTGGGTGTTAATTTTATATCCTGCTACATTGCCAAATTCCTTTTTTAAAGCTAGTATTTTTTGTGTGTGGAGTCTTCAGGGTTTTCTATATACAATATGTCATCCGCGAATAATGAGAGTTTTACTTTCTCCTTACCAATTTGGATACCTTTTATTTCTTCTTCTTATCTGATCTTTGTGGCTAGGACTTCCAGGGGAAAGTGGGCATCCCAGTCTTGTTCCTGTTCTTAGGGGAAATGGTTTTAGTCTTTGCCCATTGACTATGATGTTGGCTGTAGGTTTGTCATATATGGCTTTTATTATGTTGAGATATGATCCTCTATTCCCACTTTGCTGAGAGTTTTTATCAAAAATGGGTATTGGATTTTGTCGAATGCTTTTTCTGTGTTTACTGATATGATCATGTGATTTTTGTCTTTCAATCTGTTTATGTGATGTATCACGTTTATTGATTTGCAGAATATTATACCAGCCTTGCATCCCTGGAATAAATTCCACTTGGTTGTGGTGTATACTCTTTCTAATATATTTCTAGACCTGATTTGCTCATAATTTGTTGAGGATTTTAGCATTTGTGTTCATTGGGGATATTGGCCTGTAGTTATCTTTGTAGTGTCTTTATCTGGTTTTGGAATTAGGATAATGTTGGCCTCATAAAAAGAGCTTGGGAGTGTTCCTCTTCTTGGATATTTTGGAATAGTGTGAGAAGGATAGGTGTTAGTTATTTTTTGAAGCTTTGGTAAAACTCTCCTGTGAAGTTAGGACCAGAGCTTTTGTTTGCTGGGAGTTTTTTTTTTTATTACTGCTTCTATTTATCAGTTGTTATTGGCCTATTTTGATTCAGTTTTGGGAGATTGATTTTTTTTTTTTTTTTTTAGGAATTTGTCCATTTCATTCACATTGTCCAGCTTGTTGGCATATAGTTGTTTACAGCATTTTCTTACAATCTTTGTATTTCTGTGGTATCAGTTGTTACTTCTCTGCTTTCGTCTCTGATCTTATTTATTTGGGTCCTCTCTCTTTGTTTCTTTTTGTTGTTTTTTTTTACTATGAAAAAGTTTTCCTTTAATATCAAGAATTATTTTTGTAAATTCCCACAACAGAAGGATTTGTTGAATACATTAATGCTGTGAATGAGAAAACAATTTGGGGGTAAAACCCACAAGTAAGGTGATCTGACAGAAACCACAGACTGACATCAAATGGACAAAAAACTGAAAAAAATGACAACCAAAATAACACGGAGGGTGGGATGGGGTCGGGGGCACAGTTAAGGCATCTAAAAAACACTCCACATGGCTTTGGCTTATTAAAATATTTTACACCATTAAAAAAAAGATTCAAAAGCATCTGGAAAACATGCAAATTGTTTGAAAACCTTGTATTGCAAATTCAGTTTGCAAGCATCATTCAGATGTTTGCCAAGGAAAATAAAGAAGCCTCTCCCATGAGATTGCACATGGTGGGAGATGACCTCCCACACTATCTTATAGTAGATGGCAAGCCAGAGGTCTGTGCAGCAGTTACAAACAAGGTGTTATTATCTGAGAGAGAAGAGACTGTGGAATTTCCATTGGATGGAGAACAGTCCAGCTTTAGTTTTTCCAGATACTCTGCATGCACAGGCTTATGACATTGGAGAATTTTGATGGCATCTGCTACTTTGAACCACTCTCTCTTCTTTCCTATATTAACAGAATCTTCCCAATCTTCTACTATTTCAGTGACAATAAGAACATAGACATATGTTCTGTGCTTTTGGTCTTGGTTCTCAAATATACCCAGGAGTCTGCTCAATTTTCCGTTGACTCCAGCCTCTTCATAAACTTCCCTCATCACAGCACTGCCAGGCTCCTCCTCGGGCTCTATTCCTCCTCCTCAGACAACCTATTTGTCTGGGTACCAACTACTGCTCACCAATAACACCTTGTCCTCCTGCTCGCTCCGGAAGCACAGGCACGATGCCCACTTCTTGAAGCCCTCGTGGTTGTAGGTCCGTGTCTGGTTGAGCTTGAACTTCATCATAGAGGCGAGCTCTGGAGGCCGCTTCTCCTCCAGACACTGCTACCCCCCGGGAAGTGGGACCCAGGCGAGTCGGGCGCAGGGGTGTCGGGAGGTGAGGCAGCGGCGCTGGGTGGGCAGCGAGGCCGGTCAGTCCCGGAACCGGCAGCCGCTCCGATGTGGGGCTGGAGCCCGGGTACTGTGGAGGAAGCGCTACCTCTGCTCCAGCATCTGCCGCTCTCCGTGGAATCTGCCGCTCTCCATGGTGCTCCCTCCCGTTGCCGCCGCTGCCGCAGTCGCCGCCATGGGAAGAGCAAGGCTCGAG